TGTTTTAGCAGAGGACTTGGTAGTGTTCGCCTAATTGTTGGACTTGATGATCTTAAAGGTCTCTTCCAACCTAAAGGATTCTATGATTCTGTGATAATCCAGACGTTACTTCTTGCCTCCAAAGAATTAAACTGGGTCCTATTGTAACTATAGATTGCATACAGTTTAATTTTTCCTTTATCTAGATATAGCTGGAGACTTACCTCCAACCTGCAATTTCCTTCACCTCAGGAAGAAAACAAATACTGTTATTGCAGCTAACATGTCAGCACAAAGATTTTTAATACAGAAAAGTTCAATAGGGCATAACATTTCACACAGTACTAATCTGCTTGACCTAATTTCTTACTCCAGTTCTTTCTGCTGCTGCCAACACACTGTCCTGTGTAGCTCCCATGAAGTTAATACCCACAGATCTGCAAGAGGGATTTTTTTATCCTTAGCACAGTGCCCAGGAAGGTTGTGAGTATGTGACTTCCATGTGTGCTGCTCTGACCAATGCCAACAGCAGATGAAGGAGCAGGTGGCATGCAGGAAGACGCTGTGAGATTTGCAGCACAAAACAAGAGAGCAGAATTTCTGCCCAGGGTTATTATAATCACAAACTTACGTTTCTACCTATTTCTCCTTTTGCTTTCCTTCAAATCAAATGAAGCCAGCTTTCCTACGTCAGTCAAACCACATCACTATGCTTGCAGCACTCAGTTGAAATCTGAGTTCCAGTCTCGGCTATAACTCACTCATACCTAGAAACAGTTAAAGTCAACAACAATCCAGCTGTAACTTGAAAACTACTCTGTACCACCCAATAGCACTGCTCTCACAAAACCATGCTGCATCAACGCTGTGCTCTGTCTCCCTCTCCCTTCTTCTCATAGCCATTGATAGAATCTACTGACTCAGCAGGAGCAGAACAAGGCAGAGGGCTACTAGTGGCTCAGGCTGCACTGGCCTTCTGGCAGAACAACGGGAAGGTTCGTTCAAAAAACTCCCAAATGCCACTTTGGCATAGAAACTTACTCAAAAGCCAACCAAACAAAAAAAGTCCTTCCCCCCGAACATAAATAATAACATCACACAGCTCAAAGTCTTTCCTGCTTTCCCACCCAGTCACTTCCACCTCCAAATGAAGATATTTATTGCTGTCAATGAAACCAAGTCAGCTAGTCTCTGAAAATCTAGTTGTATCCTTTCTGCTTCACTGTTTGTCATTATCTATGCATGTTCTAGACTCAGCATTTATCTGGTAACTCCATGGATGATGAGGAAGTTCAGTTACAGCTGTACTGACTGCAAAGCAGATGGATGCATGCGGACACACAGAAAACATCTGGAGCCTCATGAGACGTGTCTCTGGTTGCACAAGGAGACCAGGCCACCTGCAGATACTCCTCAGATCAATGGTGCACCACCATCCACAATTTGAAAATTATTTGTCCCAGTTGCACCTGTCACTCCTAATCACATTTAATTTTATAACTATCCAAGTATTCAGAGCCTGGAATGTGTTAAATCTACCTAGCTGGTTTTACACAAACGAATGCAAGGGTAGCATAGCTTGTTAAGTGTTAAAACACATTAGTCCTGTACCTCAAACGTGATCTCACAGTTTTAGGTCCCACTATAAACCATCCCAACCACGTAACACCTGCTACTGCAACAAAAGGGTACATTAAAAGTCTTTAATGATTACAAAGAAAATGAGTTTGTCTGTGGGACACCTGAAAGCACATATGCAGGCCACATGTCTTCCTGTGTACTAGGAATTACACTGTCACTTATTTAAATAAGATATATGCATTCTGTACTCTCCTTCCTCTTATCCATGGATAAAGAACATACAACCCCAAGGATGCAGAATATCCACATATTTCAGCATGCAGTGAGCAGAACAACCCTTCAATACTATGCGTCCAGAAGGAAAGCAGTCCTTTTTTTCAACCAGTCATTATTCAATACCAAACAAAACCAATATAAAACCTTGATCAAGAGACATTTTTGTATGCTATTATTGGTCTGTTCCCATTCAACAGGCAAATTATGAAAAGCATCTGTACTCTGGAATTCTAGTCACATCAGCAAACCAGTAGCAATACAGGTGGTCTAAGGTTGAAACTGGAGCTCAAATCTTCAGCTTATCTCTTGTGTGTGAGACTGCCTTGACTACACAAATCAGGAATATTGTCCGCCTGACCACTGAGAGACAGAAACAGTGCAGAACTGAGGGAAGGCAATGAAAGTACAATCTCCTGTACTACTGAGTTCCCACTGAAGCACACAGAACATCACAAACCCAGTGATTTAAATGAACTCGTGTGCAGCTTTCAGCAAAGGGGATTTACCTTGAGGTTTGGGTTTGGTAAGCTTCCCACAGGGCTTTGAGATTGTGACAGTCTTCTGGCAGTCAGCGTTATGAAGAGCTCTCTTTAGGTTCCCAGTTCGAGTTTTCAAGGCAGTATTCAAGTCACATTCTCCCCAGGCCTGGAACTGGTATTTGCACTCCGCTGCAATGAGCGAATAAATGGCAATTTTTAAAACAGAATGAGTATGAAAATAAAAACATTTTGAGTCTAATAGGATGTCACAGACAGTCAAGTGCTTGTAGACAAAAGGATCATGCAAATGAAGGAAGGAATCCCAAGAAAACATTAAAGATGTTTTGAAGTGATAACTGCTGTCTCCCCCCTAAATATTTTCAAATTTAATCTTTTTGCTTTTGCATGGATATCACATGATTGTCACACAAAAGAAAATACATTCAACTATGAAGAGCCACAATAAATTTTTTTTAAAAAATTAAAACAATAGCAGTGGGAAATGTCATTTACATTCTATATGGCTATTCCTCCATTTGTGTGATGCCAAAGCTTACCAAATAAGGCTTGAATAGTATCAAGAACAGATAGCAACTATGAATTTGTCAAGTCCAAAACTGCAGCACTGATTGCCTTGGTAAGGTCACAATGATGATGGCAAAGCCACAGAAACTGTTTACTAGCAAAAAGCCAAGTTTGCAAGAGTAATCAGATCTGAGTCCTGGACAGACATCTTGTCCAGGACAAATCATGGAATCATAGAACGGTTTGGGTTGGAAGATCATCTAGTTCCAATCCCCTGTCATGGGCAGGGACACCTCCCACTAGACCAGGCTGTGCAAGACCCCATCCAACCTGGTCCTGAACATCTCCACTGGTGGAACAAACAAATTCCCTGGGCAACTCATTCCAGTGTCTTACCACCCTCTTAGTGAAGAGCTACTTCCTTACATCAGGCATACCTGTCTGAACTGTTGCATATGAACCTTCTGAACTGAATAATATGAAATACACTAGTCTTCATTCAATTCTGTCACTGCACACACTGGTAGCCATCCATGCTCCATGCTGCAAATCACACATTGCAAGGTCACATAAAGCCTGTGGTAACCACTGCAGAGATTTACAGCTGTGAGTGAACAGATGACACATTTCTGCCTTAAACAGGGCTGTACACCACCAGACAGCAGATTCTTATATGGACTGTGCAAAGGAGCTGTCTTGCTCTGAAGAAGCTGCCTTCTGATGCCTTACATGTTCTAGCTCCGAGGAACTTGAAATTTAGGACTAGCTCCTTCACCAAGGTATTTGCAGAACTAAGCAGAAAATGCAGGCTTCCTGCTCCATACTTCAGTAAAAAACAAAGCAAATCCCTTCAGAGACCAATGTTTACCTCCAAATTGCTTCTTCCAGTTGCAGGGAATCTTACACTTCTGAGTCTTGGTGGTTTGTTTGCACTCAGCTCCCGTGCGAGTGCCCTCGCGTGTCCCCAGGCCACAGTCACCACTGGTGGGCACACAGACACTCCACTGCCATTCCCCACAGTCAGACTTCTTTGCCTTTTTCTCTGCATGAACACAAAGAACCAAACCCAAGAGAAGTGGTCAGTACCCAGAACCTATGGAGAAGTTCCCTAAACTTCACTTAACTCACAGCACCTGAAAGGGTGAATAAGGAAGACATTCATAAAACAACTGTCTCAAAGGCAAAAGGTCTGGCATCCTCTTCTCAGTTCTGCAGAGACAGGTCAGACTCTGACTCCAAAGCAGGGTGGAGTATTCAAATCCAGTCCCACCACCATGCCTACTGCTCCACTTAGATATTCTCAAGTGGATTCTCATCTTCAGAATGGAGAATGATCTTATAAACCCTCAGGGATTACTGACCAAAACGTGCAGGAGAGCTCACTCAGAAAGCACACTCCTCTGTCTCCAGTAGCTGACAGCATGCAAATATTTTCAGTTCCAGCTGAAGCATTACACACTATACAGATTAGAAGCACATATACTGATGTTGTGTACCAGAGGATCTGAACACCTCCAGGGAACAGCTGTGGGATACAAACTTTTCATCTGGTATATCATGCCACATTTTATGTCAGAATATGACCCAAACTCCAAAGGTGAAGAAAAAAATACATGAGAGAAGTGTACTCAAAATGCTGTTCATACAAATGGGTTTGCTACTCAGAGATAACAGTAAGGATCATGACTTAATTTAAATCCTTAAACCCAAGTCTGAATGAGAAAAGACAGTAATACTATCAAATCCAAGGGTTCACAAAAATAATTAACTAGGCCCCCTAAACATCACAAGTAACTTTCAATAACCTTATATAAAATTCTTCTCCTTCTAGCTCTTGTATATTTATGCTCATATTTTCTGATATTTCTACACAGCCACAACAGTTAGAAATGCCTGGTTTTTTAATAGGAATGCTAATTCTCATGGACTTACAGATCCTATTAACTGGTGTGTAAGTAGTCTGTAAATACTAAGACCTTAAGAAAAAAACACCAGAAGACGTGTTCCCTATAAAATGTCAGAACTGGGTTTGATAGATTTGAATTTTCCACCTCAGGTCTGTCTCTCCTATAATGAGGTCCGAGTTCATCACTGACAGAAAGCAATTACCACTGGATGTCTTGCTTTCTATCCACAGCAGTGAGTTAGTTCAATTCTTTGTTGGAGGATTTCCACATCACACAGCATTGGCGTAGCACTGTCATATACAACACTGAATGAGCAACATGGTAACTGTGCTTTCATCACTCTTCTTCAGTTCTCTCTAACTCAGGCATGAAACTATTCCCAGAGCAAATTTTAACCTGCCTTGCAATACCCACTCTGTAATAAACTAAGAACTCCAGCCTCTGCGGCTGTCAAGCTGCCAACTTCCATAGAAACTACTTTCTGTTTTCCTATTTAACACAGAACAACATGTCACAGCCACAAATCCCTACCCTTTATGTCAAGAGGTTAACGAATGACCTGAATTTCATAACAAAACCAAAAAGATTTGACATTCTCCCACACAAGCAATCTGTCTTGGGATTAACTCCGAATTACACTGGACCTTACCTGGTTTCTCTTTTTTACCAGCCTCAGTGGTACTCACAGCTGCCAGAATGAAAACAAGTGCCAGGAGGGCAGCTGTGAACATTCGACGCTGCTGTTGTTGTTGTTGCATTCTAGGGATTAAACAGAGAGGAAAAAAAGATTGGTCAGAGTGTAAAAAGTGGGACCCTATCTAAAGCGTTGCTACAGCATTTTTGAGAAGCTCTGCTTCAGGGCCACGAAACACAAGCAGGTCAAACATAATTTGTCATTGGCAGAATGGACAATTATCTCCATTCCAGAGAGAACACAAAGATTTTCAACAATTATTTTCCAGCGTGTGTACCAAATCCCTGATCTGTATTGCTGATATTATGGTTGAGTTTTGCCACAGGAAGTTCAGGTATTATTGCTCATCTTCTAGAAGCCTGTCAATGAAACAAGGCTCCTTGATGGGCCTGGAACTTCTTTCTTCTTTTCTACCCTCTGGCTGTGACTTACTGTGTAAAATAAAACATAACGTACGCTTTTGTGTTTCATCTTACTGATTCATATGAAATAGGGAATGCTACACTATCTACCTTGCAAGGCCTCAAATTCTCATTAGGCTTACTTGACATCTGAAAAGGGCTTTTTTCATGAAAATATGATGCATCACATATCACCTATATAAGTTAACTGTCATTGGCATGTTGCTATCTACCTTTTCCTTCCTCTCCAATTACTGCCTCTTCCTAATATAAATTAATTGCCTGATAAGCAAAATGGACACAGAGCTAGGACTTGCACACACAGCTAGAGGCTATCCATAGCATGCTAATGAACCCGAAATCTGAATTTTGGAAGCAAATATTTAAATACAAAAATTAGTTAAAAACATTTACTTGGTGGTGAAGCATTGCTTATTAGTCAATCACCAACTCATTCAGCCTGGTTGACTTCAATGACTTATACACATATCTCCCTTCCACTTTGCGTTGTCTCATTTTGGTATCATGTATTTGTTATGGCCCTGCTTTCCAATAAACATATTGAAAATAAGCAACCACCCCATCTCTCAGAGACACCTCTTTAGCAGGTGGCCAGTTACCAAGATGGTGGACTAGAGACTGCTTGGACGGAAGGTTTCTCCATTTTTTTCTATTTTCAAGCCAGGGCCCATGACATTCATTCTACACCAGCCCTCCAAGGAGATGTCAACAGTGCTAGCCATTAAGATGGCCTTAAAAACTCAACTGAACTGATGACACAGAGAGTTTAGAGGCAACCTGATCTCATTTTGCTGAGCACAATAACCCTAGGGGAGAAATAATTCTCAACATGAACAAAGAACAAAATGTATTTGAAATTTATTTTGGCACTCCTCAGTATTCTCTGCTGGCAAACTCTTGCTCAAAAGCAACATAATTGTAATTGGCATGGAAAACAGGAGAGGAATCCCAAACTGAAGACTTTTAAGTGTCTAGCTTTAATATCATGCTAGAAACCAGATGAGAAAATGTCATGGTTTTGTTGAAATAAAGTTAATGTGAAGACTGTAAGAGACCTGGTATTCAAATGTCTCAAAGAGATGCCATTAGCACCCATTTGGTTTATTTCAAAAGTAAGTACCTTTTCCTGTCATGACCACCAGTGTTTCCAGTGAACTCAGACAGAGCCTGGGGCTAAAGCACACATGGATTCTGCATGAGCTTGGGTTTGGTTTTTCCTTTCTTCTGCTACATGTTTCGACTTAGAGACTCTCATATTTTGGCGAAATTGAAATACATAAATAAACAAAATAAGCAACAAAAAAATGAAAAAAGCAACCTGCCTTTTTATTCAGCTTACTTCATATTGGTTCTCTATAATCAGATGCAGTTGCAATACTATTAAGACACCAAACTTCCCCGCTCAGCCTCTTTCTGTTGGAGAAACTTCACGAGTAGCACTGCACCTAATCTCACATCCCATTTTAACTACAATTTATCTTCTCACTTCCTCTCTTCCAAACAACTCACCAGAATCCCTTGTTGAAGTAGGGAGTAAAGAGAGATAAATACTTCCATAACCTCAAGACACCGTCCCAGAGTGTTGTCTGTGGGCATCAGAAGCTGAAGCAAGGCAACACCAGTGAGTTAGCTGCATGGGATGTTGCCACACACAAGACACCTACAGTGGGCTTGGGTCTCCCCTCCTACCTCCTTGCTGCCTACCCCAGGGACCTGGGATGTGCTCACATGTACTCCATGGGCTGCTGACAGTCAGCAGGAGCCATGAAAAACTGTTTGTAAGGGAGATGCCTTGTGTTAAGTTGACAGAGACTCAAATTCAAGTCTTATCAACATTATTTTCAGCAAAACAGGTGGGGAAAATAGTTGGGTTTTACAGTCGGAAATGTTTCAGAATCCCTATAAACAAAAGCCTACAGAGCCTTAATATAGCATGTTTTCCTAAGACTCCAAGACTCCCTACAGCCAAAACACTTGCCAAGTTGTCTAAGGCAAACACTAAACCTGGAGAGAGATATATCCCTCTGGCAGAGAAAGCCAGGCTGCCTCCTCAAGTGCCTTAGCTATTAATTACCAACAAGTGAAAAGCCATGTTGTACAGAGGGCTTGTTTCACAAACACACCAACACCTTGAATTTGATGTAACCTTCATCACTACAAAAAAATGTAATTCTTTTGCATATAATAGATCACCAAGGACAGATGATTCCACAAAATTACAAAGCTTATACATAGTATCCATTAAATATTAGATATTTTTTTCAGAAAGCCAGAAAATCCCACCTCTCAGTAGTTATTTTAATTCAATCTTTTTTCCTTAAAAATAATTTAGCTGGCAATTACAAAGATGGATGAAAAGGAAAAACTCAAACTGGACTTATTTTTGAAAACAGGATATTCTCCTGAAAATAACTGTCTTTTTTGGTTCATTTTTTTCAAAATTGAAAGGTGATGATTTTTCCTTTTCTTTAGATACTGTGATAACATTTCCAGTTCAACCCTTGATTTAAAGAACTGCCAAAACTGTTAATAACAACAAAACAAACAAGTGCTTAGCAATATGCAAAACAGACTCCTCCTCCTCATTTTGATTTTTCTAGCAAGCTTTCTATCTATCTACACCAGTATTAACAAGTAAATCATGTGTCATGAAGGGCAAGTATTTCTTAAATCCTGTATGACAGCTCCTAAACAGAGTAAGACAGCAGCGTTTAAGCAAATGGCAGTGGCATTTACAACCAACAGGAAGAGACAGAAAAGAGACATTTGAGATGAGGAGAACTCCACAAAACTTCAGGAAAGAGAAAAGGTAAAGAAAGTTTAGAATAGTTCATATGGTAAACAAGGTCAGAAGAAGAGAGTAATCATGAAAAGAGACCCAAAATGGGAATCATAAAAGAGTGAAGTAGCTATTGACAGTTAAAAACTAAAACAGAGTGTGTTATCCAAACAAAAAGTGTGTAAGGGGGTGAGAAGTGAAGCCTAAATGAGATACATTGTAGCAAGTGGCTTCTCTCAGCAAAAATGAGGCACAAGAATTACTTCAGTCTTACAGCTGATTTCACAGTCCATCTCTGCTTGAAAGTGAAAAATGAAAGGAAAATTAAAAAATGGCAGGCAATCAGAAAATTAATGGGTTCATCAACCATCCATCCATAGGTTCAATTGCATGTTGAGCACCAGAGAGAGTCACGCAGAAGTCACGCTATGGCTGCAGTTTAAAGGATCTTTTGAAGAGCTTGAACCTCCCACCCCAAATTCCTCACTGCCCCTGACCTGATTTTAAAATCATGTTCATCTCTCCTGAACCTGATTCATTGAATCCTTCATTTGCTCTGATGTGTACGGTCCACATGACTAATGCACCATTCCTTTAGGAAATATCTACACTGTATCCCCTCCCCTGCTACCAAAACTTTGCAATAAAAACCCAATACAATCTCATGATCTTACGTAAGTAAATAAAATGCATCCCAAAGGCAGACCTAAGAAATTCTACAGCCTGTTATTTCTCTTCACAACACTGCTTATTACCCATGTTAGATCTACCTTTTGCATTAATTCTTTTTCTCCTGCTTGAATGAATAATTTCTCATCAAGTCCCACAACAAATACTTTAATAAATTATTGTTTGATTAGTCACAGATTAAGCACATCTACAAAATCATTTTTTAAATGAGCTAGTTTGGGACATCAGTCTCTTTTCAGTAAGCACACGCTGTACCTAATGAAACTTAACATTTACCTCCACTTCTGAAATTATTCTTATACAAAATGTGTTCTCTTTTGCAGTTCATCAAGGGAAGATGAACATGTCTGCAGTTACCTGGATCTGTTTCTTTCCCCCTTTTAAAATATAAATATGTTATATTTGCTATGGTCCAGTTGTACAACAGCAGGACGTATTTGATGCATGTTCTAACAGTCTTAATGAGTCTGAAATATCAAGTGCCATTTTTACAGTACTCTGAGATGGAAACAGTTTTTGCTGTAAAAGAGGAAGTTAGAGCGTTTGGTTCTTGGGAGTTTGACCTCTGTAACAGTTGCAGAAACTACTGCTTGTTCAGGTCTCTTTCTCATTCACCGTCTGGTGCATTCCCCTATGCCCTAGCTGATTTCCCATGTTGAAAACAGAAGCAAATGATCAGATGCTTTTGGAATCAGACCTTTGTGAACTGTAATCATTGAACTGCAAAATCTTCCCTCTTCCTTTCCACACATACACATTTCCTTTGTTGTCTTTATTTGCAGTACTAAGAAAAAATAAATTAAGCTAGGTTTGCTTTTAATTTCCTTAGTAAGATTTAAGTCAGCTTAGGTTTTGGTGAGCCTTACAGCAATCTGCCACTTCTGGACTTCCAAGACACTACTTTCTTGGAGTATTAGTACTATTTTCTTCAAATATTTTTTGAATGCTCCAGAGAGCACTTTAGTGGGCTGATTCCCAATTTAAATTTGGAATTCCTCTACCAGCTTTTTTTCTCTTTTTTTAATGAGGAAACAATACATTGAAATTTAATTTCGATTTGTATTGACGTGTATTGGTCCAACACACATCACCAGTTTAATTTCTTAAAAATCAACATTAAAATTGAAAAACCTTAATTAGATTGACATTTATGATGCTATGTACTATAAACTG